TTTAAAATATGCCTTTTTCTCACAGATGTGCAATGATAATCTCATTGTGGTTTTGGCCTGCTTCTCTCTTAGTGGGAGTGATGATGAACATTTCCCACCTATCTATTTATTGGCCTTCTGGAGTGCCTCTCTGATGAATTGACTCACCATATCTGCTGCCCATTTATTAATCGGGTTGGTTTTTTTCTATTGTTGAATAAGTCTTTACATATCGTGTATACTAAACGCTGATCAATTATGTATTGTGTATTTCTCCCATTCAGTAGAATGTCTTTTTATTTAAAAAAAAAAAAAAAGATTTATTTATGCTTACAGAATTGGGGTCCAGGCCAGAGGTACAGGGGAGGTGAGAAGATTCACCAGAGACAGAATGGGGAGCAGAACAGGCAGATCGACCAAGTACACTGCTGAGGGGAGCAGTGGGCAGGTCAGGAGAGGTCTGCTGCACCATGTGGACCTCCTCCAGTGCAGGCATAGAACTCATGCTGAAGTGGCTTTAGCTTCTTAGTGCTGTGCTTTAACCCGCTGCGCCACCAGGGAGGGACCAATATGTCTTTTTTAATTTTTTTTTTTTCTTTCTCTATGTCGAAGCTTTTTAGTTGAATGCATTCTGAATATTTTGTTTTGTTTTTATTTCTCTTGCTGTAAGGGTTGAGTCTCTAGAAAACATCTTTATCATTGCTGCTATGAAACATATCACTAATGTTTTTTTCTCTGTTTTATCGCCCACATGCTATGCTGGACACAAATTGCAGTCGAGACCGGCCACATGCTGGGAATTGGTCTCTTTCCTTTTCCGGTACACAGACTTACCCTGTGGTGTTTGCACCTGGTGTTAAGGGTCTACTTGCTTCATTTTAGTAAAATCGTTCATTTGCTGTTTTACTGGGGGGAGGTGGGGAGGGGGGGAGGTTGCAAGTGGTTGCATGTGTTTTGAATGTCATAGGGTCAAGCTGCATTAGCAGCTCTGTCTTTGAGGAGACACAGTGATCTCACCTGATTCGCCCCACGTGGTTGGGCTCCAGCTGTTCTATATTGGGCTTCGTAGCCTGAAGCCATCAGTCATCACTCTGCACCTCACTCCTATATATGACAGTGTACCCTTTGCCTTGGACTGACACTGCTTTTTGCAGCAACCCCAGGCCAGACAGGCTCATTGTTGATTCAGGCAAACAGGAAAAACATCTTGAAGCCTTGGGTATATCTCTCATGCCTTAAATGCTGAAGCCAGGACCGGATATACAAGCAAACCAGTAGGCAGAGAGGTGGTAATGGAGACTTCTAGGCCCTACTCCCATCTCTACAATCTCCTGCAATCTGGATCTCTGGCTTCTTGGCCAGGGGATCTGCATTTATAGGTGCACGTGTCCCCTGCACACGCTCCTAATCATTGTCTTACAGTAACAGGTACAAAAGCCACAGGTGGCAGCCAGAGAGGACAAAGAAGCTACTGTGTGTTCCTTACAGCTGGGCATCCTTATGCCTTTCAGTGCTGGGTCTCCAAAGTTCTCCCCCAGGGTACAGGGCCCTGAATCAATGTGTGCAGGAGTACAATACAGAGGACCCCCTCTTGTCAGTCCGGCTGCCCCAATCTCGCTGTAAAAATAGCTCAGTTAAAGTTTTCTGATGCAGGGCCCTCACTGGTGGCCCAACGAGTTAAGGCACAGCACTAGGAAGCTAGCCGCTGCTGCTTCGGCACGAGTTCGATCCCAGGCCACGGAGCTGACCCACAAGGTGCAGCAGACCTCTCCTGACCCGCCTGCTGCTCCCCTCAGCAGTGTACTTTCTTGATCTGTTTATTCTGCTCCCCACTCTCTCTGGTGAATCCTCTCCCTGTCCCTGCACCTCTGGCCTGTACCCCATTTCTGTCTGCATAAAAAATAAATCTTAAAAAAAAAAAAAGTTTTCTGATGCTTTCCACTGGGTGATTGCTCCTACCTTATGCTGTCATGGCCCATTTATCTCTCAGGAGTTACTGACTTTGTTCCACTGCAATTTTGTGGTGAGCCTGGGAGACCAGCCCAGCATCTTTGCTCTGCTGCCATCTTACTGGACTCTACCTCCAACTTTTTAATATTTATTTCTGGGTTTCTGAGAGAGGTTCATCTGCTAAAAATAAATATCTTACATAATTGTAGCCCACTGATTTAATTCTATTAAATATTTAAAGAGCTAATCCAGATCCTATAGATGCTCGTTCTGAAAATTGACCAAAGAACATTTACCAACTCATTCTGAAGCCATGATTGCCCTGGTTAAGATCCTAAGAGAAACTGTAACTAATGTCTCTCATGAATTTAGATGCAAAAATCCTTTACAAAATATTGGCAAATGGGAACTCATTGATATGCAAAAGGATCAGTCTCCATCAACAAGTGAGGTTGGTGTTACATAACTTTGGAGGTTAACTTTCCCTGTAAATGTAGGGGCTACTCTAACACTAACTGACTACATTCTAGATCTTTCCTATGGCTTTGTCTGATCAGGCAGAACTTACTGCTACTCTTAATGTAATGAGAAGCACAGAAGGAATATGTGGAAAGTGCAAGCGATGTTTAAAGGTGTCTATTTTGATGTGAGGGAATCAGGGACGGACTCCAGTTCAAGCTAGGTGAGTGATTGTGTACCTGAGAAGAGAGCAATAAGATGGAACATCCTAGGAAGAGAGCGAATGGCATGTAATAAGAGAAAGGCTAGCCCTGTTCTAAAAGAGAGGGAGTAAGGAAGAAACCAGGAGGAGAGGCACTATCCTGTTAAATGAGCAAATTCGGCCTATGCAAACTCTTCATTTGTTTTAAGAGATGTATAGCACAGTGAATATAAACTCCCATGAAGAACTTCAGGTGTAGTTTACCTAGGGCAGAATCTTAAAAAGTTTCCTTTCTTAGTTTCTTTTCTCTTTGGGGAGAATAATATTTATTATTAAATAATAGTTTATTTTTACATCATTTTGTGCCTTTTTCCGTCTCAGTTGTAATCCCCATGGGCTTCCCATCACCAAATCACCTATGTGCCATCACCATAGTCCAGTGCATTTCCCTCCCTACACTGTTTTTGAACCCGTTCCCACTCTACCCCCGTAAAATGTCTCTGGTATATATCTGTTGATCATTATTAATATTTTGAGAGTAATTTTAAAATAATCATACCATATAATCATTATATGACTTTAAAGAGTCTATAATGAGGCCCTCCCTGGTGGTGCAGCAGATTAAAGTGCAGCAGTAAGAAGCTAAAGTCACTTCAGCATGAGTTCAATCCCCCACCCCGTGGTGACCCACATGGCCCTGCAGACTTCTCCTGACCCACCCTCTGCTCCCTTCAGCAGTGTACTTTGCTGATCTGCCTACTCTGCTCCCTACTCTGTCTCTGATGATGCATGCAGTTTTGTATGCATAAATAAATACATCTTAAAAAAAAAAGAGAGAGTCTATAATCTCAAGATCACTATTCGGTTCCCTTTCATTACTTTGGAAATCAGTAGCATATCTGGCCGGTTCCCAGCGATTTGATAATAGTAGTGAACATTTCCTTGGCCAGACCAACGTGGTTACTTTTACTCTCTCTCTGATAACTTTCATTTCCTTTCGTTAAACTTCAAGAGCTTCCTGTGGCCCCAAGATGATGAGCGAAAGTGGGTTGAACTAAAACCTTTATCATTTGCAGACATTTGTTAAATGAGTACTGTGATGTCTCTATAGTCACCCATATCTAATATGAGCGGCTTGAGGACAGCTTAAGCCTGCTGCCCAGCGGATGTAAATGAGAGAGTATACCTGCCTTTGTGCCGTTAGGAATCAAGTGTGCAGATACAAGACAATGCAAAGACTGGAACCTGTGTCCCCAAGCAAACCGCTATTTATTGAGCAACTATGGAGTACACAACAATTTAATTCCCACAAAAGCCTGGAGGAGGATAGTATCAGGTCTTTTTCCACCTAGGTTAAAATTGAGGTTTCCATTTAGGCCAAAAGTTCCCAGGACAAAAGTGAGTTTAGTAAAAAAGGTAGGAATTTTTAAGAGCCCAGAGATGTATATTTAACTTGATTGTGACCATAGGCAAATAACTATAGAAGCCTCATTTTCCTTACATGCAAAACAGGCTCCTTCTTCACTGGGTTGTTCTGAGAGTGGCTGAGCAGCTGTAGGCCGAGCACTGAACCAAATCCTGGTCTATAATAAAGATCAGCAAATGCATTAAAAACAAATGTGACCACTAGCGTCCCTCAGAATAAACTCAAAATGCTAGTTGGGCCCTGACCACAGCTGTCACTGATTTTCCTCAAACTAAGCAACCAATTCAGGAATTCCAAGGCAATCCTAAAGGTGCCTGAACAATCCCCTTGCTGCCAAATAGATTCACCTTCCTACTTCCTTTCCTTGTAAGTCTACTCAACCCCCAGAGGGTTTCCAAGTACTGACTCAACACTTGGCTGGGCACAAGGGGCTTCAAATTAAAGGGGAAGTAAAACCTTTCAAGAAGCGTCCTCTTTGAGTAAGGCTGTCACACGCTAAGTCTCTTCCTTATGGGGTGCCTCGGTGACAGGCAAGACAGTGTGCACCCCTACTTCCCCCTCACCCCCACCCTCAACCCCCGCAAAGTCGTGCATCCAGCAAGGCTGTGAAACTCGGGATTGTTAAACGCGCCACACCCTACCGACTCCTGAGCCGCGGGTCGGTCCATCGCTCTCCCGTGCGCCCCCCCC